TACTACTTATTATTTTAAACTATTGAAACTCTTAATATATTACTTTAAAATATAAAATTTATAATTTTATCACATTACAGTCGATTTAGCAAGTGAGTGTATTAGTTTATTATTGTGAGAAAATTATTTATTATAATAATATTAGAATATGATACTCTTAGTAATTTAGATTTTCTTCAACTATATCAAACTTAAATAGAAATCAAGTAGGAAAAATATAAATAAGTACATTTTCCATATTTTTAATTTAAAAATTTTGTGTTCTTTGACAATAATAATGTTAGTTGTTTTTTCAAATCAAACCAAAAAAATTAAGAAAACTTACAGTTTGATCTTAGAATAAAACACATTGTATTTATTATTTTCAATGTAAAATAATTTTCAAACATTTTACAAAATTTACAATATATTTTTAATAAAGAATAATTTTAGCATAAACTCTTCCGCCCATATGGCGGACCAACCCCTAGTTATACATATTTTATGGCTTTATTATGCAAATACAGATTCTCTTCACAGCCAAGAATAATAGAGACAACATATGTAGTGTTAGTATACTTTAACCTAAAGTGTATTTATAATATGTGTTATGTAAAATTTATGAAAATAAAGAATTTTTCCAGTACATAGTACGGGACCGAACACTAGTTATATATATGATTTATTTTAAAATGTGCTATTGACGTGTGTTACAATATAGTTATTTGAAACTATCATGTATTTTAACAATAAAAATTGTGAAAAGACAGAGATAATTAAAGTTGATATAAACTTGCAAACATAAAACAAAGAAAACAAGTATAGTAAGATCAACATAAGTTAAGTGATAATTGTTTTCAAAGTTTTTCGTTTTTGGTTTCTGGTTTTTATTTAGTTTTTAGATTTTGGTTTTTTGATTGTTGTTTTTGATTTCCTGTGGATTTTTAGTTTAAAAATAAAAATTAATGGTTGTTTTAGATTTTATTTTAGTTATAGTATCCAATCAAATTATGTTATAGTAATGATCATGAAGTAATTCATATACGTATCTAGGTTCATTCGTTGTATTGCTATACTCATGGAATAAGGATCCATGAATGAATCTCCAAATATAGCGCTTCCAACTTCTGCTTCACTATCTACGAGCATTCAGTAAAATGTTTATTTATAACAAAAAAAAAAGTAATTTAGAATCATAAATAAGACAAAACAAAAAAAATAATTATTCAAAACAAATATGAATCAATAGAAAATAAAATTATTCAATTGAATTTTCATTATTAGACAAAATAACATTCAAAGATTATAATAGTTTTAGTAAAGCTTTGTTATGATTAGAATAAATGTAAATGCCTTAACTATATGTGCTAAGGGGATCTTTATCATAAATAATTAATACTCCTAGGACAGAATATAAATGTCTTAACTGTATGTGGTTTGTTTAGTAGAACAGAAACTAACGTAGGATAATGCTTTTTTTTTTATATATATATATATATATAAATATATATATATATATATATATGTAATAATTAATGTAAAATTCTTTTCAACCAATATAACTAAAAAGTTGATTTTTGGTTTTTGTTTAGAAATAGACAGTTATTTGCAATGTCTTTAAACCCGAACTGGACACTGAACCGGATAACTTACCAGGTCACCAGATTACTGAGTCGATCATGGGCGAACTTCGAGTCAATATACTAATTAAGTTTAATATATAATTATATATTATCTATTTTAAATATAAGAGTAATTTCACATTTCTTAAAAATATAGAAAAATATTTAAATTTAGTCTTTTATTTTTATTTTCATTTTCATTTCACATATAAAATATTTAAACAATAATTTAATTTATTTAACAAATTTGTTGTAAGAAATTAGGAGTTGGACGTAACAATATCTAAATCTCATAAGTTTTAGATATCTATCATTGTATACTATGTTTTTTTAAGAGGTATAATAGAATGTTCATCAAAATCTAAATATCACAATAAATAGTTTAATCGATATTATATATGATTTTACAAAATTGAATAAGAAAAATGAATTTGATACAAAAAAAAAATTATTTATTTAGAAACATTTATCATAAAAAGAGATAAAAGCATGTGATTCACGAAATAAAAAAAACAAAATTTATATGATGGAATTTAAAACCTAAAAGGTTAAAACAAATGCAATTCATGAAATCAGCAAAAAAAAATTAAAACATTTGAAGAATATATAGATTATATGTGATAGCAAGGAAAAATATTATCTCATAAGACTACTAAAAATTAAAAGTAAAAAAATAACTTTTATTTGTCGAATACAAAAAATATTTAATAAAGTAGTTAAAAATTGAAGAATTTTTTTTTAAAAAAAATTATTCATTGGTTCACCTGATGGTTTAGCCGATAACCGGATCACCGAATTTAAGGGGTTTTAGCGGGGTTTATCGGATTTTTTATTAGTGGATATTTCTTACAATCCAAACTGGATTACTTACTGAGTTTGGTGGTCCGACCGCGGTTCCGTATCGGGCATGAAAACACTGGTTATTTGAAAGACTAGTTAGGTTTTAGGAAAGTCATTAAATGCCTTAACTATATGTGCTAAAGGGGATCTTTATCATAAATAATTAAAGAAAATAGCATAAAAAACCTTCAAAGTGACACTCACTAACACTTTAAACCTTGAACTTATTTAACTAGCATATTGAACATTCAACTTGACATTTGTATCATAAAAAACCTTAAACTTGGCTTACTTGTTCGTCAAGTTAAAATTGTGACTTGTTAACCTACAATAGTAGGTCACATATTATTTTTTGATTTATTTAATTAATAATTGCAATTAACAATAAAAACCTAAATAAAATTAGAAACTTACAGAAAAAATTCTAAAATTGAATTTAATAAAAATACAAAATATTTTCTTAAAACTTCAAAGTTTTAAGAACTCACATCAGTAGCATATTTTTATGCGGGTCTTAGCAAAAAAGGATTATGTGGGTCCCTCTGATTTCCCACGTAGGAGATCGAGACACAGCCCAAGGGTTTTAAATTGAAAATTTTGCAAATTAAAAACGTTTATTAAAAAAAAAAATCATCTAAACTTGAACACTCTTTGTCATATCATTATTAATAATAACATATTTGGTTATATCACTAATGACAATAGTGTCAAAATCATTGTTATTTTTATATAAGAAATTATCATCGTTAAAGATATCAACAAAATTAAACGTTTAAAACTTACAAAACATTATTATTAATTCTGATATGACGAAAAGTGCTCCCTTTACTAGTGGTATATCCACACTATTTATTTTTGAATAACATTTTAAAGCATTTGCCTTATAAGCTTTTTAAACGTTTAGTTAATAATAATAACATTCAAATAAATATGAGTTAGAAGTTATCTTTGATATTGCAAAAGTTGTATTAAGAGTTAAAATGTTCATATCGAAATCATCATATAGTTGTCATTTTTATTAACAAAATAAAAAAAATCTATTAAGGTATTAAATTATTAGTAAGATACATTAATATAATTATGGGGATAGTAAAAATGCTTTAGTTGCTATTAATATGACCATTAATAATAATATTGTATGGTTAGAGAAAATAAAGGGGAAGACCAAAATATTAAAAAAAAGGTCTAAACAACTTTCATAGATATATTTTTTAAGACTCATTCCCTTTTAATAGTATTGATATAGTTTATAAAAAATATACACTCATATATCACAAAATTTCATTGAGAATAAAAATAAAACACTTGTAAATTCTTAAGAAAATATTTTGATTTTTTTTTTTAAATTAAGATTTTTTTTTAATTTTTCTGTACTTTAAAACAAATATTTTTGAAAACTTACACGTTAAAAAAAATTAAATTAAGAAGATATTTTGGTTTTTATTAAATTCAGTTTTAGATTTTTTCTTTAATTTTCCAATTTTTTATTTTTTATATTCTTAATTGTATTTATTAATTAAATAAAACAAAAAAACAACATGTGACCTACTATTGTAGGTTAACAAGTCACAATTTAAACTTGACGAACAAGTAAGCCAAGTTGAAGGTTTTTTGTGATACAAATGTCAAGTTGAATGTTCAATATGCTAGTTAAATAAGTTCGAGGTTTAAAGTGTTAGTGAGTGCCACTTCGAAGGTTTTTTTATGCTATTTTCCCTAAATAATTAGTATGTGTTTGTTTAGTAGAACAAAAAACCAACGTAGGTTAATGATTTTTTATATATTATGGTAATAATTAATGTAAAATTCTTTTCAACCAATAAAAGTAGAAATTTTGGTTTTTGTTTAGAAATGGACAGTTATTTGAAAGACTAGTTAGGTTTTAGGAAAGTCATCTCTCAAAAACTTGATCGGATGAAAAATGCTGGAAAAAATGTGATCAAGAAGCATGCTGCAAGTCCCTTTGTCAAAACATGAACAATATGGCTTGTACTGGTTGTGTCTTCAGATGCATTTCTCCTCCATCATTTCCCTCTTCCAACACAAGTAACCAAATCTTTCAATCTATCTTTAGAGCCAATTTTCCTATATATAATCAGATCTGATGACTTGAAGAATATTTTGAAATCTATAGTTATCCTTGATTTTTCATATACTAGGGTGATATAAATATCAATGTGATAAGATGTTTACATTAACCGATGAAGTAGACCAACCGGTCTTATGCTACCGTAATTGCGATGTGGTTGTGGCATTGATAATGTGTGCCATGAATGAACGTTGTAAGAAAAGTTGCAGCTACCCACCATTGTTGAATGAAATAGACCAACATGACATATGTTATCGGAACTGCCATTTGTGTTATGGAACGGACAATGCATGCCATGAACATTGAAAGAAAAGTTGCAGTTACCCACCGTTGTTGAATGAACGAACATCTGTGACTTGTTGAGATACTCTTGCTATATGATCAGTATTGTGATCTAGTTGTCTATTTCTCAGTATTTACATTTGGTGATGTAACTGACATGAAAAGATTCTATATAAACATACTGAATCTCAAAAGTTTGACCAAAAAAAAACATACTGAATCTCATAAAGAGAATATTTTCATAACAGAAATGTGATGATTCACTTATCCAGTCCAATGTTCTATGTAATATAATTTTTTTTGAAAAGGATATTGCTGGGAAGAGAAATTTCATCAATAGTAACAGGAACATTAGTGAGAAGATTGAGAACAACAGAAAGTGGTCAATTTCTCATAACCAGGCTCATGGCGTTACATAATCATTGGAGGAATCCCCTTGTTGCTTCTTCTTCCTTATTGTAACTTCGGAGTGATTCACCTCGCTAAGACTTCTTTTCTTGGCTTCCGTATTTGAGCTATTGTTCTCCTTTGTCTCAATCTCTTTCTCTATCTCCATCTGGTTTTCCACGTTTGATGATGAAAACAAGGGCGGTTCTCGCCCGCTAAGACGACAAAAGACACGTTCCACTGTTTCATTTATCTCTTTCCCTAAACCATCATTCTCAAGAATCAATTCCCAAACCGATTTTGATGCCTTCTCTAGTACTGGACCCCTGCTCACCAAAGCAACAAGAAACATGGTAAGAAATTCCAAAAGAGTAAACACGCATCAGTACTGCTGCAGATCTAAGGAGCTGTTAACATTGGCATATGTTATTCAAAACTAGCTAAGAATGTGTTTAGCTACCTAACCAAAACGCAATGCACGAAACCAGATTTCCAAAAAGAGAAGAATCCTACTCGAGTTCTTGGCGAAGAGCATCAAAGAGTTCTCGTTTAGTCTGTTTCTCAGCACCAGGTGTGTTAAGAACTTTGCTCTCCTCTGCCATTTTAATGGTTGTGCTCTTCAACTCTTCCTGTTACAACAAACATTCACTCAAACGCATTACATCTTATCTCGTAATATATAGTATGAACTTAAGACATATTATGAACTAATAATCAAATCAATCAAAATCTAAGAACTAAACTAAACCCAGAAATAAAAAAAAAGTTGTTTATTTTTTCTTGCTAAGAAATTGGGATCGAAAAGGATTCGACCCAGAAAAAATAGGTTTTGTTGGAGAGAATACATTGGCTTTGAGTTGATTGATGATCTTCAATCGGAGGGCATCGATGGTCCCATCGTTCATAAGAGACTCAAGCACGTCTTCTGGTGTAATTACCGAAGAAGAGGACATTGTTCTTCAACTCCCAACCCAAAACCCTAAAAAGTGTCTCGCAACAATCGATACGCTTCTTAACCTGCAAAGAAAGATAACCCCTCGCTCAGGAAAAACGGTAAGTTCGATCGAGAGAGAGAATCAATCAGAGATTTGCCGGAAATTATCTACGTTCTAGCTTTTAGAGTTTGATTGGATTTGGTTAGGCAGACCAAGAGCTTCCCTGCCCCTACATCAAATTTTTAAATCTGCTTTCTCCTTATTATAACGAGTCATCACCTCAAACGCCCTTATTCAAAAAAATTAAATCACTTATACCCTCCATTAATCTTCATATCCTTCATCATTTAATGAAAATCTCAAATAAATCATTCTCAATCGATCAAAACTAAACAAAAACCCCTCCTATGGATCAGTGAACCCATGGGTAAAATATTTAAATTCTATATGTTTCAAATTCGTAAAAAAAATATTTTAAAATCGTTTTTAATTATATTTTGATGATTTTCGGAAAAATATGAAAAACAGTTTTTTTGATTTTTGAAATATTTTTATCAAATTCTATAAATCAAATAAAAAATATTGACGTTTTCAGTTTAATTTTTTGAGTTTTCGTTTGTCATATAAAATTAAAAGAAAAAACTGAGGACATTTGAGTTTTAAAATTTTCAAATAAGGGCACTTGAGGCAATTACTCTATTATAACTGTATTTTCATTTATAATTATTTTTAAATCAAAAAATGAATGAAATACCAAAAAACCAAAAAAAGTGACGAAATTTACCAGAAATACCAGAGTCAAACCCACCAATTTCATTACCTGTCAGATCTTAATTGGTAAACCGAGATAAACCAAAGAAACCCTAGAGTCAAACGCAATTTGTAAATCTGCTTTCAATCGCATGAAACTTCCACGATTAAAGGGAGAGACCTCTCAGTTTCCCTTCTCTTACCTCACACTCTCGAGGTTTCCACTCTCTATCGATCTCGATCTCTCTGACGAAAGTAGGAGAAACGATAACCACAACGATCGAGAGGTAAGGTTCTTCTCTTGACAATTTCAGTTTAGGTTTTCGATAAAGAGATCTATTTCGATTAGTTGGTGACTCATAAAATTCGTGATATTTATCGATTTAGGATTCTTATTGTTCCGTCGTGTCTATCTTTGTCGATATGGTCTCATTTAATCATTATCATTACATGAAGTGAAAATAGCGAAGACACGATGGACACAAAGGAAAAAGAAGAAACCGAAAACGAAACCACTGAATGATATAACTTCTCCTCCTTTAAAAGAAGTTCCACTTGGAGATCTCGTTCCACAGGTTATGGATGAGATTCCGAAGGATGGAGAGAAATGGAGATAACCCAGTTAACGAAGATAACCCAATTAACGAAGATGACCTAGTTGTAGATGGAGAGAAAGAGAAGGAAAACAAGGATAGCCCTGTTGAAGGTGTAGAGCAAGATAAAGAGAACTCGGAGAACGTGGATAGCCCTGTTGAAGGTGTAGATGGAGAGAAAGAGAACGAGGAAAATCATGTTGTAGATCGAGAGAAAGAGAACGATGACAACCTTGTAGAAGAGAATGAGAACTCAGTAGAAGATGAGGAAGAAAGGTCATATCAAGAAGAGGTGAATCCGCCTGAAAGTGAAGTACATTCCAAGGAAGAAGAGCCGAATCCGCATGAAAGTGAAGTAGATTTAGAGGAAGAAGAGGCGAGCTGTGAGAATAATCAAGTTGGTGAAAATGTGCAGTTCTCCGAAGGAGGTAGAGAAGAAGGAAGTACCAGTCCAACCTTAGAGGTATACTAGCTATGTCTCATAGCTTAATTTGGTAGAAGTAAGGTTAACTAGTTTCTGAGAAATGAAATGATAATGTTAGATAGGTTTGATGGTTTTGTGTAGATTAGGTTAAACACAAGAGGTTGTTATCTTTTAAAACTATGTATCTATACTATTAAAAGTGAAGACACCCTTGAAAAATCGATTGATGGAAGTTGTGTGCACCTTTCATTAATGGCATTTTGGTAATTTATTTTCGTCTTACATCTATATATATATATGGATTTGTTACAAATCATATCACATATTGCATATACCCGAATTATTCTCTCTCTTCCCATTAATTACTCTAACCATATTTTATATTATATTTCATACATTTATTCATTTCCAACATTATATTACACGATTTTGTATATGCATCATATATGGACTTCATAACCACATTTCACACTATATTTGATACATTTATATTGTATTATACACCTTATATTACATGATTTCAATCTATAGATTTTCAGCATTATACTTTTATGGTTGATTTTTTTTGGTATATAAATCATATATGGACTTTATAATCATATTCCAAATTATATTTCATACATTTATATTGTGTTATACACCTTATATTACACGATTTCAATCTATATAATTTCAACATTATACTTTTTTGGTTAACATTTTTTGGTATATGTATCATACATGGACTTTATAAACCTTCATTTCATTTATATTGTGTTATAGACCTTCATTTCATGATTTATCTTCATATATGAAATATGTTTTGATGTCTCACTAAATTTACCCGTATTTATATACCATACTATATTTCATAAAATTATATTGTGTTAAGACCTTATATTATATGATTTCAATCTATATATGTCCAACACTATACTTTTTTATTGACATTTTTTGGTATATGCATCATACATGGACTATATAAACCTTAATATTATGTTACAAACCTTCATTTCATGATCTATTTTCATATATGAAATACGTTTTCATGTCTCACTAAATTTACCCGTATTTATAAACCATACTAAATTTCATACATTTATATTGTGTTATAGATCTTATATTACACGATTTCAATCTATAGATTTCCAACACTATACTTTTTTGGTTGACATTTTTTGGTTGACATTTTCTGGTATATGCATTATACATGGACTTTATAAACTTTCATTTAATTTATATTGTGTTATAGACCTTCATTTCATGTTTTTCTTCATATATGAAATATGTGTTCATGTCTCACTAAATTTATCTGTATTTATAAACCATAGTTAGACGACATATAGTGATATCAACCAAAAAAAATATATCATCACTCTCATGTTGACATTTAATGGACGAGATACGTTTTGTTAAGAAAATATTGCAAATACGGTTTTCTATAATTATCTTCTTACTAAAATAAAGAAATTTCTTTACCTACACGTTATAGATTAACCACAATCAATATCGTAGATTCCATAAATTTCGGTAACTTACCATAGTTGGATTACCATTAACTGTTAAACTTTAAAATTCCTAACTATCCAAAATTTTCAAAAAATATTCTTTATTCCTCGAAAGAGATATTTTAAAAAAATCGTACGTAATATTCTCCCCTATATTCGCGTAACCTAATTGTATATCGTCCCTACCTATTATAAATATAGCCTCTCTTAACCATTATAATTATCATCCCTTCAAAACCCTAAAACAAAAATGGCGAATAATTTGCAGGTGTCTTTCTTGAGCGATATAAAACCAAGGAAGACTGTTGTCGCATCCAAGTCAAAATCTTTCATACGTGGAGACATTTCATGAAAGACTAAGGGAGTCCATGGAACTAATCCTTTGTTTTAGTCCATGTAAATTTATCGTTTTGTGTATATTTTTGATTTAGATATCTTCATTTCGTTAAAGTTTAACCTAAATGATAATGTTTTATGTTTATATAGAGAAGTAAGATCCATGCCTCGTGTAACAAGACATACATTCCTCGATTGTCAAAAGAAATTACTCAAATGCTTATGATTTATTTTTGGTTATAAGTGAGGTCCAAATCTCAAATGCTTATGACGTAAGTCAGATATTTGTTAATCCTGAAATACTAGAGACAAATGAATTTAAACAACAGTATTTATCTTTTTTCAATGTTTTCACTTTATAATAGTATAAACTAAATTATAAAACTTATTTATAATCGCAGAGGTAATGATGATTCTCGAGCGTTAACCCAGGCTGAATCAAAATCGCAGAGGTAATGTTGATTCTCCATCGATCCGTTTTAGGATTATGTTTGTTTAGAAATAATGTTTTTAGTTATGTTTTGACAATCGTGTAATGATGATTCTCGAGCGTTAATCCTGGCTGAATCAAAATCGCAATTTGTTTTCACCCAATAATTTTCATTTTAAATAATATTTGCTTTTCTTGAAGATTTATTGACTGATTTATTTATATGAAAAATACATAGTGTTGTATAAAACAGATGAATATACTATGATATAATAAACGAAAATTGATTTATACTATATTTTATGCATATTGAAACAAATGAGATACTTGGAGTAACAAATCTCATTTGTTACTCCGGAATCTTGCAATATTTAAATTATACCTTATATACTTGGAGTTATCTTTGACTCTCATAAAAAAATTATTTTTGAGTTACCTTTGACTCTCATAAATTAATTTAATATTTTATTTTATGGTCAACAAAAAAATATCCGCCCTTGTTAAGCGCGGGTCAAAATTGAATATTATTTTTATTGTTCAAAAATCATAGATGTAATTATTTTAACTAATATTCAAAATTGAATATTATTTTTATTGTTCAAAAATCATAAATGTAATTATTTTAACTAACATAAAGAAACTACCCGCCCTTCTTAAGCGCGGGTCAAAATTGAATATTATTTTTATTGTTCAAAAATCATAGATGTAATTATTTTAACTAACATAAATAAACTATATAAGAAGCGCGGGTCAAAATTGAATATTATTTTTACTTTTCAAAAATCATAGATGTAATTATTTTAACTAACATAAATAAGTTATATAAGAAGCGCGGGTCAAAAATCATAGATGTAATTATTTTAATTAACATAAAGAAACTCTATAATTTGATTAACATATTTATTGGATTTAACTACAAATTTGTAATACAATTTTGGGCATTTTCAATAGTATTGATTTTTCAAATTTACTATAGGCCATGGACCCATCCAATTTTGGTTTCAATCTAATATGTGTTTTAATTCTTCATACTCTCACAACACTTAATTTTCTGATTCTCGGTTCAATCAGAAACTGACTCGGTTATGCAAAACTCAATGAAAAGATACTAAACGTTAAATATACATAAAATTTCACATATAAAACTATCTTATAATAAAAATAGAATCATTTGATACATTTTGCTACAGCCAAAATAAAACCCA